AAACGTTCCCATTTGAAATTCTCACAAGATGTTTATCACAGCATTTTGATAAATATTTTCAAAATTATTTTGTGTCAATACGGAAATATATATATATATATATATTTGAGCAAAAGTTGATTTAAGCAATGAAAAATATAGATAGTGATCGAAATATAGCTTTTAGAGGAAGTGTCTAGAACTAGGCGATTTTCACCATAGTTTCTTGTAATACTCCAATATTTCAACACTGCAGAGATGCTTTTTTGGGCGTGGATTATGTGAATTTTCATCAGTCTCTTGCCTCAGCAATATTTGAGACAGTTACTCCAATCCGACACTATCAGTTGAACAATTTCGATTGTGAATTACGTAGTACAACTCATGTACGGAAATCTGCCGCTTTTGCTGTATTATCTATTCTATCTTTTGTTTTTGTTGTGTGTACATTCAGATTTAGTATTTCATACGACAACTTAAAGAACATTGGTAACCCAGTGATACATGAAATTAACATTGGAGTCATCCGGATATCCGAGCCTCTATAGCAAAGATGAATGAAATTTCTCATGTTGCTAGCTTTTAATTACTGAATAGTCATCAAGTCATTTCCAAAGAGGAAAAATACAGAGTGCTGATTCTTGACGAAAAAATAGAAATGTTGTTCCCATGTATTCACGAACTTGTTTCGCGTTGTCAAATTGATATATTTTTCTCACCATAGAATGCAAAGATAACTTCTTATATATTGGTTAAAAGTCCAATTAAGAACTGATCAACATAGACCATTGATGGATCGAACTTTTCTTGGCCGACTGTATTTATTGCTGAATATTATTTATCACTAGTATCAGAGAACCTTAAACCTTGATATACTCTTATAAGAAGGCATCTTTATTGAATGTTATTTGACGTTCTTAAATCGAATTTTTTTAATGCAGATTATCTTCGAACAAATGTTTCAAATAATGACTCATTTTTATGCAAAAATACTTTAAGAAACGACTGCCTATTGTGATCATTCATTTCCTATTGTAGAATCTGGCGAAATAACACAAAGTTTCTCCTCAAATTGGATGCCAAACACGAATCAGAGTACCGAAGTTATCAATACTTATGAGGTTGCTCGAAAAGTAATCATATTTCAAATATTTATTACGCACTGTCTAAACTAATTATACTGCACGAAATTCTAGTTAGAAGTTGTCTATGGTATCGAATCAGGCTCCATCTATATAAGTTCTATTGTATTCAATAATGGTGAAACAGATGTCCATGATCGTCGTCATCGCTTTCAACATCACAGCGAAACGCGTGAAATGTGTGTCCTCATTTTGCATGACCTCTTTTTATCGTGTATCTGTTCTCAATGCCTGTCTATCTCTGTTTCAGACCTATATGTGATCATTTGGCATCTTATCGCTCAATTGTAGAAATTCACATTTATATAGTCTATCCAGAAAGCTGTGCCACGAATAAACCTTGCAAAGACAAGTTTGTCGATGCTATTGAAGGTCGTATTGCTGCATATTCTTCAAGTATTTCACTGAAATTCGAATTCGATGACGGAAGCTTCGCTCAACTTACATTGACAAAATGCAAGAAAATCGTTGATTCATCATTACATTCGTCAGTGCGGTCACGACGAGATTATTACAGAAATAAACGAATAGGTAACTACCTTCGTGCTCTATAGATTTGTACATGTATTGGTACTAATATTTTCACTACTCAGTGTTGAGAACTAAAACTGGTAGGAAAAGTGATGGAGTTTTCTAAAACTTTGTTCTAGAATAAGATTCAAATCAATGATTTGATCAACGTATTAATTCTAATATTTAAAGAATATTGAGTGCCTCAGCATCTACGATTTTGGTCAATCAAAAAATAGGAATTTGCATACGTTTCAGCGTAGTGACAATATCTTGATAGTACACCGTGTATTATTGAGAATTCATTTATGAAATATTGTGGAATGTCATTCTCGACTCGTTAGTATGTCGATCAATATCAGCCATCATGCGTCATCATCGAATTGCTTTCGTAGACGCATCTTTTTACCTTGAATTTGAATAGAAATAAAAATATACATTGAGTAAACATAGCTTAACGTGAATTGAAGAGTATTTTATTGAAAATTTTTCACTAATGATTCTTACTATTGATGAATTGTCGATTATGAGCTTAACAGTATCTACACATTCAGTCGAAAAGAGGCATATTCATATTTTGACTCGACTAAGACTGCATTAAAGTATAAAATATTCAGTAAAAACAGTATTTGTTTTTTCTGGATCATATAGGAGATTTCAAGTGACATCGACGCAAAAAAATCCATTAATAAAGTGCTACGAAATTCGCTAGTCTGTACATTGGAATAGAGGTCAGCAGGACTCTTTCCTTACTGTTATCGTTATTGGTCTAACCAGCTAGACCATACCTGATGGAACGGCATCCTAGTATAAGTCATGCTTTATTTTTCTCATTCTTGCAACAGTCGAATCAACTGCTGGAGTAGTTATATCTGCGCTGTAATTATTACAGCAAGGACACACCGGCATCTCTATAGTACTCCTTACTTTTTATAGTCATAAGTTTTTATCTGTCTAGATACAGATTGTAAAACAGAAAGCTTTATGAGACTACAACACCTATGAAAATGCAAGTTTAAAACTAGTTTTCACGCTAAAATTCCAAACCAACCAACATAGGAAGTCTAAACCAACAACTCCGTTTACTGGAAGAAAACAAATTCATAAGACTACTTATATGTCCAGGCGTTGAAGAAGAGAGCCGAATTCCATCAACGATGAACTCATATAAAAAAGTAATCTACTATTTCAGAATAAATTTCAGAGTAAATGTAATTGTAAAAAAAATATCATAAGACAACCATGTCATAACAAGATCATTTTACTCTACAAGACTCCAACATTATAATTCAGTAGAAGATTAGCATGATACAAAAGAGATATCATAAAGATCACGATGTCAATATTGATAACATCGAGATACCAAGGACTGCCAACATGAACTAGATTATTTCTTCAATAACTGTCATATATCGTGCAACTAACCAATCTTTATAATTTGTAGTTCCAACATGCAACAACAAACGCAAAAATCAAGATGAAACTGATATCGACTGTGGCGGTAAATGTGCAACAATAGGAAAGAAGTGCAACCTGGGTAAGAGGTGTAGTAAATCATTTGATTGCAAAAGCAACATCTGTTCAAATCGCCGATGTATCCGTAGGTACCTTCTTGTGTCAAATAACCGAATATTCATCTTTTTCGTATAGCTTTGATCTGTAATAATCATGTGAAAAACCGAGATGAGACTGATGTCGACTGCGGTAGTAGATGTGCAGTTTTTGGAAAGAAGTGTGACGATATTAAGATGTGTGCGAGAAATTCAGATTGCAAAAGCAATATCTGTTTAAACCGTCGATGTCTACGTAAGTAAATTATTCTGCCAAAAAAATCAAGCACTTATCTTGCTTGCATAGCTTTGACCTGTAATA